CGGGCGGCCCGGCCGCGCGTGCCCGTGTGTCTGCGTGTCCCCGCGTGTCCCCCGTGTCCGTGTGTTTGCGCGTGCCCACGGGATCCCTGTGCCTGCGGGTCTTTTTAACAGCGTTTAACCCGCCTCGGGATGCTGGTTTTGGACGCCCTGGCAGCCGCTTCCGTCCCACTTGTCCCAGGATTTTATCCGCCGGCTTTAAAGGAAACGCCTTGGCCCCCCTCACCCCCGCCTTGTCGCACCTAATGCTGTTGCATAAACCCGAGCACGGACCAGATGTGCCGTGGCTGCAAACCTTCCCCATCTGCTGCTTTTTGCCCCCTTTTTGGCATCAACCGAGGCGATACCTGGTGTTGTGTCGGGAGAGGCCGTGTGGGAAGAGCCTGGTGGCTGCGTCACCCCCATGTCCCTAAAGATGCATTTGGGAAGGACCACGTTGCCCCATGATGGGATTCAACTGTTTTGTCCCGGCTGGAGCCGTGCACAGGGACTGGCTGCACCTGCCTGCAAGGAATTCCTTTCCAAAGTCGAGTCTTTCTGATAAAAACCCTCTCTGTTTCTGTGTTTCAGGCACCCCGACAAAAACAAGGACCCGGGAGCAGAAGATAAATTCATCCAGATTAGCAAAGCCTATGAGGTAACAAGCTCTTCTTGCAAAACTTGCACTGTTCTTAACATCAAACTTAAATGGCATTTCCTTTAATATGGTTCATGGAAAAAGTGCTCAGCTCTGAGGGCAGATGGAGAAGGGTGTTTTTGTCTCCCTCCTTGATGGAGACCCTCCAATTGCTGCCAGTGTCTTTATCTGTTTATTCCTACATGGAAAAAGTGCTCAGCTCCGAGGGCAGATGGAGAAGAGAAGGGTGTTTTTGTCTCCCTCCTGGATGGAGACCCTCCAATTGCTGCCAGTGCAGCCTCTGCCCGTATAAAGTTTCTGAGCTTCAGGGTCACTATTGGAAATGTTTTACTAGAGCAAATGGACAGGTCTAACTTGCTCTTGTTGAAAAGCCTCATACCAAAGTTGGGAGGATATTTGCTGCGCACTGCAAAGCTGGAGGGCCATCTTTTCCGTGTTATATATGCATATACTGGGGATGAGATAAGAAATTTTAATCCCTTCTGAGCTTTAGTTGCTTTTTCTAAATATTATTTCCATAAGTAGTTACTTGCACAGCACTTACACAAGGCTCTCTAAATCAGCTGCTCCACTTTGTGGCAGCTGACCTGATGCTTCCTAGGCAAGCAAGTTGAGGGCCTGAAAATAAAGCACATCCCTTACCCCAACGTGGTGTCTGTATCGCACCACTTACTGTTCAACAGCACTTTCAGAATTTTCTAATGTTGTAAAAGCCCTCAAATGTTCAAGTAGATCAGAAAATCACTCCAGGACTACCACTAAAAAAGCACTACTGTCCAGAAATGTGAAATTTGGGCTCTAGGAAGAGTATGTTAGAGTTTTTGAATGGAAGCCTCCTTTTCTTTCACTTATTTACCATAGTGAGCCTGAGGTGACATGGTGGTTCACTTTTTCTGCAGATCAGAAGGAGAGTATTCTGTAAAAAACAGCACTTCTTTCCCCTTCTATCCAGTTCTTATGTTGTAAGGGATTGGTGTCATTTCAGTTTCCTCTTACCACGATCCAGACCTTGCTCCTTCAGCCATTTTTACTGCTTCACAGATCCTCTCCAATGAGGAAAAGAGGGCAAACTTTGATCGCTACGGAGACGCCGGTGAGAGCCAGGGCTACTCTCAGCATCGCCAGTTCCATCACTTCCACGAAGGCTTCTATTTTGACGAGTCCTTCTTCCATTTCCCCTTTAATTCGGAGAGGCGCGATGCCTCCGATGAGAAGTATTTGCTGCATTTCTCACACTACATCAATGAAATTGTGCCAGATAGTTTCAAGAAACCTTACCTCATTAAGATCACCTCAGACTGGTGTTTCAGCTGCATCCACATCGAGCCCGTGTGGAAAGAAGTTGCTCAGGAATTGGAGGTGCTGGGTAAGAGTTATCTTTTTAAGATGGGCACCATTTCTTTGCAAAATGAGACTGTGCCAGAGGTGTCTGTTGTCAGCTGCAGTAATTGCTCTCAGCTTGGCAGCACTGAGTTTAGCCAGTCAAATCCCTCAGGGATTTATCCATGATCCTAATCCTTTCACATGCATTAACATCAGCCTAACTGATGAGGCTGGATGTTAGAAATGAGGAAAAAAATAGGGTTTTCTTTTCTCCCACCTGTACAGCTAGTGTCTTAGTGCTAAGGGCCAAGCACTACCCATTTTGACTGGCCAATCTTCTTGTTTACCCTGAACTTGGATGACTCGGATAAGTAAAGATCCCTACAGAATATGTAATCTAAATCAAGGCTGCAAGGGAAGTTTTAAGACCCAAGTACTGTATTGGAAACGCATGGATTTCTAGGAAGCTTTTTCTGCCTTTTCTCCCCTGGGCAGAGTGCAGCTCTTTGCTTTCCTGCAGATTTTGGTTTCCACACCATGCACGGAGTCAGCGGTGGAGCAGCAGGAGAGGGACATTCTAGTCCCTGCTTTCTAGGGCTTTCAGCCTTGGCATTTTAACCAACCACATGAAATATCTGCAGGCAGAAGGGAAGAGAACAGCTTGTGCTCTCTAGATTTTGAAATCTAGGATTTTTAAGTGCAGTTTTCAAGGGATTGTAAAAGGAGGGAAATGCAGAGTTAAGAGGGACTGTTGTGTGAATAGCTGCCAAGCAGGGTGCCATCAAGGGAAGGTACCTTCATGCCCGAAGCTGCTTGGCATCGTCTGTGACCTTTAACGTGCACTTGCTTTCCGTTTGCAGGAGTGGGAATCGGAGTCGTTCATGCCGGCTACGAGAGACGCCTGGCCCATCACCTCGGCGCACACAGCACGCCATCAATTCTGGGGCTGATCAACGGGAAAATAACGTTCTTCCACAACGCCGTCGTTCGCGAAAACCTGCGGCAGTTTGTGGAGAATCTTCTGCCAGGGAATCTCGTTGAAAAGGTACGAGCTTTAAGAGCATCGTGTGATGATTTTGTTACTTACCGCGTTTATGTAATAATCTAGTCTCTCCAGCTGTTCTAATCCTGGGGATCAGCCTTACTTGGCTATTTTTGGTAGAGTCCTGTAGGACCCCCCACATCTCACGTGGGATGAGATAGCAGGATCCGTCCCCAGATGGATTTTTTTTTGCCCTGTGGGTCTTCAGCAACGGCGCCTGTTCCCCAAAGTGTCTAAAGCTGCCACCTTGCATCGCGTTTCTCCTGGTATTCCACTTCTAACCCCAAAAGGGAGGGTCTGTCAGTCCAGCTCATGACTCTCTTTAACCTCTAGCAGCCAAAACTCTTAAAATAATAATTAAAAAAAAACCCCACCCCAAACTAGCAGGTTTGATTGAGCCCAAGGGTGCCCATTAACCCTTGTTTTCCCACTGCAGAGCTTGCACAGCCCAGTGAACAAGTGTTAGGAGAGGGAATGGGGCATCAACGTTGACTTAAAACAGCACGGACAGAGGATGGACTAATTAGTAGAGTGCATGCAGGTTGAGGCTGATTTTCTTTCCATAAATCTCCTGAGGTTCTTGGTATATCTGTGACCCCTTAAAAGAAAAATCCATGGAAAGCTTTCTGTGACACCTAGAGAGCTCGCTCAAACTCAGTTATGATTCAGACACCTAGTTACATAGTAATGTATGTGTTCAACTGTTCTGAGGCTGAAGCTAATGCTCTGATTCTGTTTAAAGGTTACAGATAAAAACTACATCCACTTTCTGTCTAACTGGAAGAAAGAAAATAAGCCCCATGTCCTTTTGTTTGATCATATGCCACTTGTGCCATTATTATACAAGGTAACGTGATTTCTCTCTCTGGCTTTTTGACTCGCTAATAAAAAGGACTCTAATATTGCTGGAAATAGAGGTTGGTTAGTGCCAGGAGAGGGATGTATTAGCCTTTATTGTTAACAGCAGAATTTTGCAGCAAATCTCATTGGAGATGGTGGAAAGCAGGTTTCCAAAGAAACCCCTGCTAGAATGTAGAATGTGAGGTTGTGGAATAAAGGTGTGAATCCCTTGAGGCTTTCCTTTTGATGACTAAGAACATGCAAACTGTAATTCAGCAAGGCAAAGGAATAGATTTTATCTTTCACAGTGCAGGCGCAGTGACATTTAAACAGTGGGAGCAGCACTTGTAAGGGGGAAACGAAGTTCGATCTGCATCGTAAACACGCACTGCTGCTGCTTTCTCTCTGTCCAGCTGACTGCCTTTGCATACAGAGATTACTTGTCCTTTGGTTACGTGTACGTTGGACTCAGAGGCACCGAAGAGTTGTCCAGTCAGTACAACATCAATGTTTATACTCCTACCATGATGATCTTCAAGGAGCAGACCGACAAACCCGCTGATGTTGTGCAGGTATTGCTCTAAGCTCTGCCTGAGAACTTGCTTAAAATGGACATAGAGGCTCTTCTGCGCGGGCTTTTCCTCAGAAGTTGGCCATGGAGCAGTTCAGAAGTAACCAGCAGGGTCCCTTCCAACCTTAATGATCCTATGATTTGCAGCAGAAACTTGGGGCTCTAGCAAGGGCAGTGAGCAAATACTGGGAGAAAAGGTAGTCCTGTAGGCTCAGTTATGGTGAAGGAAAACTACAGGTAACGTTTTGGTGTCAGACATGTCCAAATGTCCAGGAATTCTCCCGTGGGCACAGTGATGGCTGGTGGCCTTCTCTAGGCTTCAGAGGAGAGTTTTAGGAGAGCTCCACTCAGGAGGTTCTTCTCGTTGTCCTGATGGGGACTGATCTCTGCTTCCCTTGTCCTCTCTAGGCCCGAGACATGAAGAAGCAGCTCATTGACGACTTCCTTTCCCAGAATAAATTCCTCATGGCAACCAGGCTCACCAGCCAGAAGCTGTTCCAGGAGCTGTGTCCTGTGAAGAAGTCCCATCGTCAGCGAAAGTAAGGCCCCCTGGATTAGTAGTTTTTAGTTTATGAGCTTTTACAAGGTGTGTCCTGGGAGGGAGTGCATTTAAGTTACAGATAGAAGGGATGAGGAAGGGGTGCCGAACTGGAAAGATGATTACATAAAAGGTAGGAGAAGGCATTTACAAGTATGCCTGGAAAATGGTTAGGTTTTCTGGCTCTTCAGGATGGTTTTTGGCTAGCGAAAATATGATTTTTTTCTAGTGTCTAGAATGGTCCTTAATCTCCTATTTTCTTGTGTTGGCCAGGCACTGTGTGGTCTTACTTACCAGAGAAGGTGATAAGTTCTCTGAGGCTTATGAGGCATTTTTGGCTTTTGCTGTGGCCAACACCAGAGACTCCCTGAGGTTTGTGCATATCTACAATGATCGTCAGCCGGAATTTGCCGACGCCTTCCTGGGGGATGACGAGAAGTACCAGGGAAGATCGGCCGTGAGTACTGCCTCTCCCTGCTGCTGCTTCTGCTCCTCTGCCCAGACCTGCACCTCCCTGTTAGCTGCCTATTCGGTTTACTTTGAAAATGCTTCCTCTTAGTTATGAGTGGCCCCTGCATATGTTGTTGCTTAGATTTTTAAGCTTTTCTACCACTACAGGCTTCTCTTTCAAAATTATTTTTATTAAAGGGTGGCTTTATCTTAATCTGACATCCATTTCTTGACAGTGATTTGAGACATAAAATATTTCTTGAAAAAAAAATACCTTCTTGTCTGAGCTCTGCAGTGTTTTTGTTTTGTTCAGGTGGTGATTTTGGAAAGGCGTGACAATGCAGGGAGAGTTGCCTATAAAACCTTGGAGGAGGCCTGGCAAGGCAGCAGAGAAGATAACTTCATCCTCCTGGATCTTCTGGATCAGTTGAGGACAGATCCCAGTTTTCTCTCCTCGGACACTGTCCTGACAGACTTGAATGATGAACTTGCTCCCGTAAGTGCACTGCATTTCCAGATGTGTAACAACTGCAGTACCTTCTTGGGCAGTTCCATAATGGTCACCAGCTGAGATTATTTATATTTTAAAATACTGAGGCAGGACTTAAAGCTTCCTCATTTGTGGAAGGAAGAGTTCTTGTTTACTTTGATGCTCAGTTGTGCCCAGGGTACCAATCTGGGGGTGAAGGTCACATCACTGCTGTGGATAGCAGTTTTGTCATTGACTTATTTGTTTATTTTTGTTATCCTCCATCTTAACAGATATTCCTTATCCGCTGGTTTTACTCCACGCTGGATTACATCTCAGACTGCTGGGACAGTTTGTTTCATAATAACTGGTATGGATGGCTATTCACTAGTGCTGATACACAGCAGGATTGCTGCTGTCTTGTTGAGATGCTAACAGACCTCGTAATACCATAGTGTCATTAACTTCTGTCATCTGCTGGGTACTTTAGCCATGAAGCTGAGGTCAGTCACGTGCCTGTAGGTATGACAATCCTGAAAAACCATCAACCCTACCGATCATTTGGTTTTCACTTTTTCCCCTTAGTGTTATTTTCAACTGCATCCACTCTTCCTGTTTTGGGTGGGAGTAAGACTATGCCCAAAATCCCAAATGTTTAAGACCCCAGAAAATGAGTTTCTAGAGAAAGTGCACAGCATTATTCGAGGTAGAAAGGATTTGAAACCCAGGCAGAACTGTGCAGCTCGCAGAACTGATTGCCATTTGCAAACCTTCCCTCAGGCGAGAAATGATGCCCCTGCTGTCCTTGCTCTTCTCTGCGCTCTTCATTCTTTTCGGCACTGTTATTGTTCAGGCTTTCAGGTAAGCACACACAAAAACATCTCGGGGACCTTACAGTGCAGCCAATAGCATCTGAATTCAAAATTACCATTTAAATTAATATACATATATATATTCCTTTGCAGTGACTCAAGTGATGCAAGAGATTCTCCTCCACCTGAGAAAGAAGAAACAACCACGAAAGCTGAAAAGAACGACACGAGCTTCAGCAAAGAGAGTAGCAGGTTACCTTCTAACTTCTCCAAATATATTTTCTGCTGAAGTAGTGTGTGGGGGCCCTGCCTGAACAGTTAGAGCAGGCATTAGATGGATAACGAGGATGACCCAATGAGTTGGGTGGACAACGAGGCAGCATTTCAGGGAAAGCAAATCAAAGATGAGTTTCTTTCCACTCAGCTACTCCTGTATCTTTTTTTTTCTGTTGAAAACAAAACAAAAAACCCAGGAGATTCCTCCTGTCTGTGCTTGCCTTCTGCAAGCCTGTGAAGCCCTAGACTCATTCCTTGATGGAATGACAAAGGACTGACTGACTTGTTGAGGGAGATGCAACTCTGGCCTTTGCAAGTTGGGTTGTCTTTAACTGCAGGGTTAGTCTAAGGGAGGGATGAGTTATTTGGTGTTCCTCTGCACTCAGTCCTTGTTCCCTTTGCAGCAGGGTTCCCAAAAAGGGCTTCGTGGAGGTGACCGAGCTAACGGACATCAACTATAACAGTAACCTGGTACGCCTGAGGCCAGGCCACATGAACGTGGTCTTGATCCTTTCCAACGCGACCAAAACCTCTTTGCTGCAGAAGTTTGCCCTGGAAGTCTACACGTTCACGGGGTAGGTTGGGGCCCTTGCCATGTTACTCTGGTTTACAACCATGTGCTGTGGGAACCCAGCCCGGCTCGGGAGAGGCGCTAACCCGGCTTCCCTGTGTCCTTCCCCCAGGAGCAGCTCTCTGCATTTCTCCTTCCTCAGCCTGGACAAGCACCGCGAGTGGCTGGAATACCTGCTGGAGTTCGCGCAGGACGCGGCCCCCATCCCAAACCAGTACGACAAGCATTTCCTGGAGCGCGACTACACGGGCTACGTGCTGGCGCTCAACGGCCACAAGAAATACTTCTGCCTCTTCAAGCCGCACAGAGCCGGGGACGAGGGGGGAACGCTAGGGGCGTGCGAGGATTACGAGTCCTCGCTGCACACCGAAGCCAGGGGGAAATCCTCCTGCAGCCCGGGATCTAGATCCATTAAAAACAAATTGCACAAATTGTCCTTTTGGATGGAACGCCTTCTAGAGGGTTCCTTACAGCGGTTCTATATCCCCTCGTGGCCTGCACTAGACTGAGGGATTTTAAAGAGATTCTAAACATAGACTTTTTATGGAGATGACAAGGGACAGTTCTTTCCAGGAATAAACAATCAATCACAACGAGCAAACCTTAGGTTTTAGATGAACTCTCCTAGGGCCAGCAAATAGAAATATCTCCCCGTGTCTCAAACCTAGGAGCACAACGAAGCGCTCCGAAAGTCCCTCTACCAAATCGTCCTTGCATTTGGATGCTCTACTCTCCAAGACAAAACCAGCCCATTTTCCTTGTCCTGCCGCATCTGCTTCCCAAGGCACCTCATTCCATCTCGCCTCGGCTGACGGAAAGCTGTGACCGCTGCCGCGGGGACTCTGGGTGGCCTGAGCGCAGCCCGTTCCGCCGCTCCGGTCGCGGTTTCTCTCCCTTTCCCCGTGCTCAGCCCGCGGTGTAACACCGGTGAGACCCTTCAGACCCTGGTGGGCGCCCGTGCTCACGGGCCTTCCCTGTGGTAAGTGATGTAGAGTACGGTCGGGAGCACCTCCCTCGTAGCAAACCCGTAGCTGGGACTTACCTGTGGTGCGGGCTCGTAGGCGATCTGCATGTCTCATGCTCCTTGTGTAATAGTTCCGCGTGCGGCTTCACCTGCAAAGCCATAGCCAGAGAGGGACAGGGTTTTGCACAGCCCTAAATACTGTAAAGGTGTCGAGCCATCTAAATGTCACGTTGTTTTCCGGATGCCTTTCTGCTTCTGTCAGTTCTAGACTGTGTATCTTAGAGCCATAATTTAACTGTGTCCTCCGATTGTAGGCATAAGCTGCTATGAGCCAGTAGATGCGTAAAAGAAACTTTAAATAGCTGCTAGGGAGTCGTTTTGGACTCCTTTCAAAAAACATTACATCCGTAGTACAAACCAACCTTTCTTTGTATCAAGGAACTTAATTTTCTCAATGATTGTATTCTTGAAACGTTGCCCCAGAAGTGCTGTATCATCAGACCGTCTTTTATGCATGAAACTAGTTTTGTTTCAGGCGTGGGTTTAAAGGTGCTTGGTTTCAGCATCTCAGCTGTTTTCATCCTCGCCACAGACCTTTGTTTCTCAAGCGCTGGCTGCCTCGCTTTGTTTCGCTTTTTCCACCGCTGGGTTTGCTAAGGTTAGAAGCGTTGCAGAGCTGGGTTAATGCTTTGCTCCAGCAGTGCCGCGGGGTCCGTTTGGAACGCCGTGCTGGGGTAAGGTGGGAAGCAGCAGCCGCTTTCTGCTCCTCAAACAATCAAGCAAAGCAGAAGGGTTTCTTGGCACAGCCTGGGGCTCTCCTGCTTCCTCACCGTGGCTCCGGGAGACACCGTTTCCGGAGCTGCTGCTTGCTACATCTCTGCATAAAGCTCCTCCACGCGCTCAGTGCAGGAACCCAAGACTTTGGCAATAGTGAGTTGCTGTTAGGCTCAGTGACTGCTAAATTCCAAAATTCTCTTCCAGGCTGACTTTACGTGGGGGCTCTGAACCTTTATCATAAAGCACTTCTGCCAAGGTAAATACAGGCGCGCTGTACCCCTGCCTTTGTATTTACTGTATTGCCAGAACAGCTAGTTCGTAGGGATAAATGTGCCCTTCTCGGAGATACCTGCTGCCCCCAACTTGAGCTCCGGGAATGCTCAGGTCGTTTTAGTGCCCACATTACCTCATTGCTCACAAAATCCTGGCTTGTTGCATTCCTCCCTATGCACTGGTGTACTCTGACCACCAACAGATATCTCCAACAACATGTGTAACGTACTTATAAATAAAGGCAAAGATAACTGCTGCTGGCCTCTTACGTGAGGTTCCTTGGATTTAGCTCAGTGGAGCCTGGGTGGCAGCTTGTGTTGCTGCATGGAAAGAGGGAGGAAGA